GATTGTAAAAATGATTAAAAGGAATTGAAAATAATATTTTCCTTCTTTGTAGCTAGCTTGCTAAATTACTATTATCATTGTGTTTTAAAATATTTCGTGTAGAATTCTCTTGGTATGAATTAGTTGAATGATCATATTTAAAAAAAAAAAAATGCCTGAATACATCTGATGACAGACACGGCTTTTAAATCAAGAGAACTTTGAAAATCATATAGGTAAATCTGGGGTTGGCCATTTTATATCTAAGGTTATTCTGCCTACAGTACAAATGAAATTTTGCAAATGGAAGTTTGGTTAGAAACTTGAATGTTTGTGATTCTTTGAAAAACATTTGTTTCTATGACTCAGAAATTTGGATAGTTTAAATATTTCACAGGTGGGGTCTTTTTCAATATTTTCTTTAATAATTAATTTGAAAATTAGTTTGATAGATATGTGCAACACAGTCTTGGAGGTATCTTTAAATCTTTGAAAACCAAATAAGTTTGTCCATTTTACTAATGCAATTTGGTGGTTCTAAAAATAATGAAATTGATTTTCTGCCATTTATAAGTATTCTAATTATATTAGCTTATATTAAATATAGCCCTTTTTAAAAACTGTAAATGGAAGGAAACTTAGGAAACATGAGTAAGTTTTTATAAAACTTTAGACATGGCTTATTTTCCAAATTTGTAATAGTATATTTGATAGTTTTTATCAGTTTCGTATTACAAAATTGATACATGTTAAATTATAACTTAAACAGTTAATCACAGTTAAATTGTGATGTGGAACTTTTTTGCATTAGTTATAAAACCATATAGCAAGTTGAAGTTCCTTTTGTAAATTGACTCACACCATCATGTATCAAAGACCCTGTGATCATTAGTTTAGAACACTTTCTCTTTCCTATGTTGGTACTAGAACCACTAGAATAAGGACAGAATGAAATGGAGAGGGATTTGTATTGAACCTACGCTGGTCTTCTCTTGATTCATGGAAAATGGTTTCCATAGACTACACAAATAAACATATATTTTAGTGTTTTTTATTGACAGTATTGCTTCAAATGATCACTCCGCTTTTTCTCCAGAGCTGTATTATTTTAAAACTTATTTGCAGTTCCTGATGCTATCAGGGAGAAAGCCCCTGTGAAGATTTAGTTGTACAGGACACTTTCTCCTGCTACCTCCAAGGTCTTTTTGAAGGAGAAAATAGTGTTGTGGTAATACTGATAGATGTCCTGACACACTCTGAAAGATAGAGGAGGGCAGCAAACACTTGAGAATATTGAAACTTCAAATTAGGAAGGTTTTCTGTATGATTAAAAAGAAGATAATTTATGTAAGTTAAGGATTAAAACAAAAAGAACCAAAAAACAAACCCCTTGCCATTGAGTCGGTTCCGACTCACAGCAAACCCTGTTGGTTTTCCTAGGGGGTAAATCTTTACGGAAGTAGATTGCTGTCTTCCTTCCATGGAGTGGCTGGTGGGTTTGAACTGTGAATCTTCTGGTTAGCAGTCAAATGCCTTAGGTACTGTGCCACCAGAGCTCCTTAACAAGGATTAGAAAAAAATAATTAAAATTGAATTTAAAGTGAAACAGATGATCCTGAGAGAAAAGATGAATTAATTCAAGGAACTTCTGAACATAGTATTCTGAGTGAACATTCTCCCTGGGATATGTTCTAAAGACAATTTTAACTGCAAATATATTTTTTGAACTTTTCTTAGTAGCTTTATTGATGGTGGTGGTATGGTATTTCTGAAGCTGTTTTGTGCATATTTTAAGATAGAGCAAATTAATGAAGATGTCAATGTTTCTGGGAACTGATTTTCTTTGTGGGAGAAGGGAAACAGAAATATAGATTGAGGGAAAGAGGAAGAACTCTGTAGTGTTGATCTGAACTCATAATTTAAAGAAAATAAATGTATTAGCATTGTCCACTGTGAAGGCCTAGAAGCAGTGACACCAAGTAGTAATGAGCTCACACGGTATACCGATTGTGGTTTCTAAATTTTGTTCCCCACTAAAGGAATCAGGCCTCCTGGGAGAGATGATTGACTCTAGGACCAGGGTAGGGAAGGAACAGGGTAAACCTGTAAAATCTTAGGCTAGGAATTGAAGTGCTCAAAAATTGATGGGGATCCTTCAAAAGTACCCAGGAGCCAGTTTGAAGGACCTGCCAACTTTTTTGGAAAGTTTGCATTATCAGAAAGAATAATAGTAATAGATTATCATGTACTGATTTTGTTAAATTCATGAGTCTATACTGAACCTTCTTTCAACCATACTTATTCAATCTGTATGCTGAGCAAATAATCCAAGAAGCTGGACTATACGAAGAAGAATGTGACATCAGTATTGGAGGAAGGCTTGTCAACAGCCTGCGATATGCAGACAACACAACTTTGCTTGTTGAGAATGAGGATGACTTGAAGCACTTACTGATGAAGACTGAAGACTACAGTTTGCATTATGGATTACACTTCAATATAAAGAAAATAAAAATCATCACAACTGGACCAATAAGCAGCATCACGATAAATGGAGAAAAGAGTGAAGTTATCAAAGACTTCATATTACTTGGTTCTATAGTCAGCACCAATGGAAGCAGCAGTCAGGACATCAGATGACATATTGCACTGGGCAAATCTGCTGCAAAAGACCTCTTTCAAGTGCTGAAGAGCAAAGACGTCTCCTTGAGGACTAAAGTGCGTCTGACCCAAGCCAAGGTGTTTCGAATCGCCTCACATGTACATGTGAGAGCTGAACGATGAATAAGGAAGACCGAAGAAGATTTGATGCTTTTGAGTTGTAGTGTTGGCGAAGAATGCTGAAAGTACCATGGACTACCAGAACAACTAACAGTGCTGTCCTAGAAGAAGTACAGCTGGAATGCTTCTTGGAAGCAAGAATGGCCAGACTTTGTTTTACCTACTTTGGTCATGTCAGAAGGGACCATTCTCTGGAGAAGGATGTCATGCTTGGTAAAGTAGAGGGTCAACAAAAAAGGGGAAGGCCCTCAACAAGATGGATTGACACCGTGTCTGCAACGATGGGCTTATGTATAGCAGGGATCATGAGGCTGGCACAGGACCAGGCAGTGTTTCGTTCTGTTGTACATAGGGTTGCTATGAGTCAGAAACGACTCAATGGCACCTAACAACAACATGCTGAACCTAAAACAGAGGGATGGGCAAGCAAAAAGAAAACAGGAGAAAAGAGGTAGTACATATGACAGGAATAAAAAAGGTAGAAAATCACTATTTGGAACTACAGATAAATTAAATGACTTAGGCAAGAACCATCAATACATGCCATGTCCATTAAGTGAGTGGTTATTGGGGAACAGGATAGTCACAGTCTCAAAATAACACCCCACTGTTTTCTTACTAATTAAAAAAGAAAAAGATAGTTTACAGTAGAAAAATCTGGGCAAAAAAATAGGACATACTGACATTTTTGCCTTCTGATGACACAGCATTATCTTTATGTATTCTTGCCAGAAATGTTTAACCTGAATCTGATCATGGGGATATAATCAGGCTAAGTCAGATTATGAGACATCTACAAACCAGTCAAATTGTCAGCATCATAAAAGAGCCCCCCTCTCCAAAAACAGAGAGAAAGGGATGGGAGTAATGTTTTAGATTAAAGGAGATTAAAGGACATGAAACATGCTTTGGTTGTATCCTGGGTCGCGGTTACAAAACCTTGACATTATTAAAACAATTGGGAAATTTGAGTATGTAATAGATAAGAAGAAAAAGGTCCATTGCCATAGAGTCACTTCTAACTCATAGTGACCGTCATAGACAAGTACAATTGGCCCATAAACTTTCCAAGGTTTTAAATCTTTACAGAAGCATATTGCCACATCTTTTTCCTGCAGAGTGGCTGGTAGGTTTGAACCACTGACCTCTCGGTTATCAGCTGAACGCTTAACCACTAGATCATATCAGTGTTAAATTCTTGAGTATGATAAGGATATTGTGGATATGTAAGAGAATGTTTTTGTTCTTAGGTGATAATGTGGTAAAGTGTCATGATATCTGCCTGCCCCTTACTTTGGCTTATTCAGGGGAAGAAATATGTGTGCAGAGGGAGAGAGAGAGTGTGTGTGGCAAAATATTACCAAAACAAAAATGAAAAACGCTTATTGAAGACATGCTTGCCAGACCTCTTTCTTTTATAATGTCAGTTTGTTTTTTGTTGCTTTTTTACTCCTAACTATAAAAGTAATGGTTGCTTATCCAGATCATTTGTAAAATACAGAAAAGTGTAAATATCATCTCTAGTCCTGGCTATAGAGATTACTTAATATTGAATTCATTTGTGCTCTGGGTGTATGCATAATTTTCTCTTTCCTTCTTTGCTAATGTATTGTCAGCATTTTTCCACATAATTGAATTATATGGAAGCATAATTTTTAAGAGCTTTATACTTTTCCTTCATATATTCAAACATTCGCTTATTGAATGTCGGGATGGTTTATATTTTTTCATGATTTATTGTCTCTCTAATGAGCATCCATATCCTAAGTGAGTATCTGCTTCTCCTTTTTATTTCCTTAAACTGTACTCCTGACTTGTGTGGTACATTATTATAATCTATTAAAATTATTTTGCAGTGTAACATAAGAAGGCAGTATTATTATTGTATTTATTTTTAAATGGCATTCATGTTTTTTACCTAGAGTTATGATGACAATTTCAATGAAAGTGGAACTGGATTAGAAAAGGTTGATCCAGAAGATACTAACTTAAATCAAGACAGCGCCAAAGAATTGGGAGACAGTCCCCAAGAAAACGTCAGTATCACAGAGAACGCCAAACAGTGTGATGATCCAAAAAGCGAAACTAAAAGGTAAGTTAAAGGTGCTTATTGTTGGCCTTATTTTTTAGTAATATTTCACACAGCAAAGTCGGTTCCCATTTGACAATTTCTGTACTAGTTGTTTCAGTGATTTTAGTTAACCTTTTTTTACATGTCAACATTCTCTTTAATTGTATTCTGGTTGTTCCATTTCCTGTACTCTAGTTTCCCTAGTTCAGTTCAAGGTTTAAACACTATCTCAGGGTGATAGTTTCAGGGAGTCCTGTAGTCTCAACTGGTCCCATAAGTCTGGACTTTTTAAGGATTTGAGTTTTGTTTCGCATTTTTGTCCTCATCCATCAGAGTGCAGCTGTTGTGGCCCTGATCAGAGTAGTTACTGGTGGTAGCCAGGCACCATCTACTGCTTCTGCTCTCAGGGTAGATGAGGCCATGCTCATATAGGCTTTTAGCTTTTAGCCCTGTAGGCTAGTTTTTTCTCTCAGACTTTGGTTTCCTTCTTTCTCTTTTGCTCCTAATGAACAGAGACATAGTTGTATCTTCAGTGGCTGCTCCCCTCACTAGGATGTGGAACCTGAACTTTGTGACTTAGTTGTCCCATGAAACTAACATGAGACAAACCCAAAAAA